GTTGCTTATAAGTAAAATTGCGCCTCCTTTCTCGACTCTATCCCTTTCATGTTCTCTCTCCCGTTGCTCATCAGTAAAATTGCGCCTCCTTTCTCTATCCCTTTCCTGCTTTTTCTTCCGTTGCTCGTCAGTAAAATTGCGCCTTCTTTCTCTGTTTCTTTCTTGCTCCCTCTCCCGTTGCTCGTCAGAGCAGTGTCGCCTCCTTTCTCAAGCTCTCTACCGCTCTCTCTCTCGTTGAGCTTGGCTTGCTTGCCGCCTACTTTCTCGTTTTCTCTGCCTCTCTTTATCTCTATACTCCAAACTAGAGGGCATAATAAATAGATAATGTAGAAAATACGGATGTATAAAAAATGTCAACCGACACGAAAAATTTCTTTTTGTTCTGAGTTGACGTTCCTGAACTTCTAATAGAGTTGTTTATGCTTCACAAAACGCGGGTTGCCATTCGTTTTCGCGCCAAAAAACCCTCACCACAGACTACCCGAAATTTTGCGTTGGTATGCCTGTGGTGCGGACGGACGGTCGGGCGGGCGGTCGGTGTACGGTCACGTGATTACCAAATTTTCTCGGATGGGTAGTTTACTACATTTTGTTACCCATGGTGCTCCGCTGCGCGCTTCGCGCGCGAGAGCTCCGCCAATAAGGGTCCCAACGACGTGCCGCTATGGTCTAACCTGATTTGAATACACGTACTGAAGCCACACCTGTAGCACTAGGTCTCGTGACCTGTTACTTTTGGGATTGCTGTAGCCCTGTGTTAACGTAAAACCCTCCTTTAGAGCTAATATATAGATTTAGCCAGGGCTAAAAGCGAAGCTCTGGTTAATAATACTTGTAAACAAAAAAAATTAAATCGCGTAATGCTAAACGGGGAGGGCAATGGCATCAAGATCAATAGATCTAATTAGCAAAAAAACAAATTGCACGTGCAGCACACTTTTTTTTCTAATTAGCCAAAAAAAAAAAACAAATTTGCACGTGCAGCACGCTTTTTGTCTTTCTTTGCCGTTGTTTTGCACAATTACAACGCTGTTTTGTAGCACTAAAACGTCAAACTTCCTAGTTACACATTATTTTTGTGGAGGAATTGTCGTATGTGCTTACCCAATGTTTTGTCTCCTGTGTTCATGTTCGCTTTTATTTTTCACTGCCGCTCATTTTTACCTTGCTGGCCGCTAGCATTTCTCATTGTCTCACGGCCGCTTTGAATTTTCACGTTTTTCTTCCTACAAAATTCGTCTCTTTTGTTTTTAGTCACTCGCTCTAGCTCTTTCGCTGTTAACCACGTGAGCGAAAACATCAAAAATAACGTCGAAAAAGACACGACTTTGTTGTTGTTTTTTCTTTCTAAAAGTCCGAGCGGCCATGCGATTTCTTTGCAAATAAAAACTTGAGCTGTATTTGGGTTGCCATACCTGTTGATTGAATTATTTTACATTGGTATGCCTGCGCTGCGGACGGACGGTCGGGCGGGCGGTTGGTGTACGGTCACGTGATTACCAAATTTTCTCGGATGGGTAGTTTACCCCATGGTGCTCCGCTGCGCGCTTCGCGTGCGAGAGCTCCGCTATTACATGTATATAAGAAAAATGGTACAACTAGATCAACAAACAAGTTGTAAACCAGAGAAACCCGAGAGACTTAATAATAACGGGGTCATTACAGGTAAAACAGAGCGGTTAAGACAAGCTCAGTGCAACATTAACTGTAAACCACGAGACGGAGGGAGTTAAGCAGTGACGTTTTTGATCGACGCACGTCAACCGGAAGTGAGCCTTTTTATCTTTTAATACGCCTTGACGCTACCAAATTTGTTCTGCTAAGTACCTTCACACTTACAGAGACGATTTGCTAAAGAACTTGCTTAAAATCACGGCCGAAGAGTTTAAAAAGTCCAATTTAAAATTACGCCTTAACATAACAGTTACGAGGTATTTATGGCAATAAACTCAAGGGCAAATTACTTGAGTATTAACAGTATTAACAAACATAGGCACGTTAAACGTGCGTGAGCTATTTTGAATGCTTCATTGTAACTTAAATGCTTCAGTGTAACTTTACCATGATTGATGAATCTACCTTTTTCGTCCTAAATGTAGACTGGATTTTTGTGCAACATTGGGTATTGCCGTATATAAATGAAAACGCGAAACGCTCAGATGCGTCGATCCTCATACATTTGGTGCAAGTTAAGGTCTCGGTAAAGGAAAACGAGGTGCCCACAGAGAAAAATTCTAGTCGCGCGAGTATTTTCGCTACAAAGGCAAGTTATATATCAAATTAAAGCTAAAAGACTAAATTACCTTATAAAATATTTTATTTCATCGAATTTCAAAAGGCGCTTAAGTTTTTTGCTCTCGAACTCAGAGGTATCGAGTTTACTGCTGAAGCTCCAGCCCTTTCGCGTTGTTACATATTCACTTTCTTTTTATTGCATCTGATTGACAGATAAAAGACCTAAAAAAGGGTGTGAGGAAATTTGCATATGTCTCGTATTAGGGGAATTGTTACATTTCAAACTAAAAAGTCGAATCTCGAGCGCGATTTACGCAAAGAAACTGACATAAAATGAGTTACAAAGGGAAATCGGAAAATTCCTCACACCCTTTTTGAGTCTATATCATTATCCATCATATCTGAAAGTTTCAAAGCGATAGCTTAAAACCTGTGCCGACTGGAGGTCGGAGAATTTTGATTTTTGCGTCTGAAATAGAGTGAGAGAAAATCAGCTCTAAAGATTTAGCGCGAGGTCCACGCTTGGCTGGTTAGCTCAGAAAAAGCTCATTTTAGAAGGGTTAAAAAGCACTTTCTGATTTTCTTTTTCTGCCAAAATAAAATTTAGGACCCACTCATGCCAAAAATCCAAAAAAAAAACAAAATCGAGCAATGTACTAAAATTTTCATTTACCGAGACCTTAAACAGATTATTAAAGTAAAATAAATATCTACTCACCAAACGTTGATTAGAAGGAAAACTCTAAGGTTTCCTCGGAGTTTCTTAAGCCAAAATGTGACTCATCGAATTCGAGTAGTTAAGAAATACCAGGATTCTTATCATTGTGGTAGATGGTTGCATCATCACAATTCACGCGGTTTTCACGTGCGATTCTACTCAGTGAAACAGTCCTTAACTCCAACAACGTATTTCTTTATGTTTTAAAAGCTATTGCTTCTTAAAAGACAAGAGCCTTTTTTAAGGCATTGGTTACAAAACGAAACAGGTCTTCATACGTTGAAGTTACCATTATTATTCTGAAAAGCCAATCTGCATGAGATGTACAATCACACAACTGGCACGTGAAAGTGTTGGACTTTGCCCCCTTTCGTTGTTCGTACGTGAGGGAATTCGAGTTATCACACGGTAAACAGAATTATAAAAATAACTCGTGCACACAATTTGCTAAATAAAATACGTTTCAATAACTATAATGCTTAGTATGCGGGAAGGATGTATCATGTTGTTCACTTATTATAATTTTTTTGTTTTGCCAGAACGAAAAAAAAAGGTCTGTTGAGCTTTGTAAGCGAGAGAATAGTATTTTTAAAGCTTGTTTACAGAATTAACAATACTCGGTACAGCTTTAAGAAAAATAAGCTGCCTTTCAAACTTGTAAAACCACATTTTATGGGCCGCATACTTTCAAATTTAAGTCCATATCTAAATATCAATTATTGCTTCACTGGAAGAGCTGTGAAAATATATGATCTTTTATACTCTACCTTGAAGCGGGTGAAACACAACTCATAAATACGTGCGTTGTACCGTTCGCGATAGCCGCAACGGTCACAAATGTCTTGAAGCAGCATCCATAGTAAAATATGAACCCTTAAACAGCTGCATCAGTGTTTACAGCGTTTGAATCATGAAGATATTTTATGTAATGCTTCCAAACACCTGTACCCGTGACAAAAGACGAAAAAATTGTGAAGGATCAAGATGGCGGTCTCAAAGTGCCCTTGTTTGACCTTTACCAATGCCATGTTTAAATAGATGCCAAGGTCTCATTGGTTCCTAAGCATCAACTCATAGTACCTCCAACCTTATTGGCTCTTGCAACAAACATCCCAACATACAAAGCCACAAAGATACATACGCTCACACCACTGACATATGAGCTATTTTTTCAAAATAGCTCAAAAAGGAATGAACACCCGAAGAAAATAGTGGGCTTGAACAAGCAAACGAACACAGAAACAAAAATTCGCAGTCACAAGAATTCTTTGACTATGACTTTATTCACATGCGATTTTCTTTTCAAAAAAAGAAGAACCTTATAGTTAATATAAATTGTCGTCGTTTGCAGCAAACGCTGGATTTAAGATGAAATTGATATGTGAAGTTATTAAAACGGAACTGGAAATAAGGTCAAGCTCATTGGCGCAATAATTACATACGCTGTAACGGATAAGCGGATAAACGAAATAAATTATCACCTTATTAATAAGACAGAAACTATTATGCCAACAATACTTGATTATGTGCCCGTGGGCTCATGATTGATCTCTCTGTTATCATCGTGAAGTTGAGCTGTCGTTGTATCTTCATCTTTAGTTGCTGTCTTTTGACAGTTCATAGACTGGTCGTCTTTTCCATTTAACACGCATTTATTTTCACCATTAACCTCAACTGGTTTATCTTTTTCAGTTTTATCGATTTCTTGAAGTTTTTCTGGCTCAAGCTTAGCGACAAGTTGCTTCTCGTAATCTTTCGCCAACTTCTTGCAAAACTTCTTGTGTGTTTGCCAGTGGAGCTTTTGACAACTGACGCTTCAATAACCAACCTGAAAAGACACAAGCTGGTTATTCACTGGCTAGGCGGTCCAGCTAGCCTCTGACATGGGATTCCCGCCAAAGGGCTTGCCAAGTACTGTTTCATAGAAACAACCAGAAACACGCAGCTAAAATGAAACAAAACCAAACCAAAAGATTCTTTCAAGGGTGGCTTATATATCTCTACCACCTACCATTTTACAGGCCGAACATTTCTTCACATCCTTTTTCTAAGTGCACACACAGCAACAATCGCTAAAATCCGCACTGGAAAGAGAAACGACGAGTACGCTATTAATGAAACTTTCTTATTGCTTCGAGTGCCATAAAAAGGAACAAACAATCACCATACGCTTTCTGCATAAAATCTAAGTTTTGGGGTACCACTGCAGACCTGCAAAGAGTTATGCTTTGTAAAAAACAAGAAATCCATAATCGGGGTCAAGAGAGGATAAAGAGGCTAAGACAATGAATCTCCCATACAGGCCCTATACCAATGGTAATCCCTCTAAAGTTATTTTTGGTTTCTGGAGCTCTCCAGAGGATTGAGTAATAGCCAATCATATGTCCTCAATTTAACAAATGTTGACAGATGGGTGACTTCCCACGCAATGCTTCGCGACTTTCGCAAATTAAAATGGCGGAAGACGTGGGAAAGGACGCGTGTATACGTTTTGTGGACGAAAGCGAGTTTAAGGAACTGAATGAGCAAATGTCCCAGTAAAAAAGGGCAATTTGCTTGCGTACATGAGGCACACAGCATACATTTGTATTCTAATCGGAAGGTCGTCGGATATTTGTAGCTCTATACTGGTAAAAAAAGAACTGTCAAACTTTGCTTACGCTTAGTATTGAAGTCAGTGTTTGTGGTGGAGAAATACACAGTAGTCCTTACTGACGTCTTCAATATTTGTCGCTGAATTGCTTATTTGTGTGTTCTGTGCATCACGCTGAAACTCGCTTACAGCATTTCGTTTTGGCGGGACACCATTTAACCTTATTTGGAAAGGAGAAGCCTTAAAATATGAGATGGTACTGCCAGTAGATTGCTGTATTTACACATTTGAGCGTAGATTTGTTGTTTTGGCAGATAACTCCTACACACATTTCACCCATTGATGCCATTCTTGTTTTCTTGCCCATGCAGTTACTGATGAATTTTAACTTACCAACGAAGCCCGTTTATACACTGAGTGATAACAGAAAGTGCGGTTGGATCTCGCCCCTTAAGACAAACACAAAAAGTTAAATACGAATAAGCAAATATTAAAACAATAAAACAAATAACTTTAAGTGGGTTAAGTGTGACAGGCAATTTAAGAAGAATCATTCTTTCGTCCACTACTTCTTGGCTCCAAATGATCAGAAAATTGGACTTGAAAACTGAAGAAATGACTGCAACGCGCGGCTAAACAAGCACCGTGGATTAAAATATTATTTAACTCCTATATTAATCCATACTTGAGCTTATGACAAACTGCTTTACACTTTCTTTTATCAGGGAAATTTTTTACAGAAAATATATAATTATGCGGCCATAGATATGGTTAAGGCGGTATCAGGTCGTTTCGCCCGAAGGTCGTTCGCCCGATAGCAGTTCGCCCAGATTAAGTCAATTCGCCCGAAGCGTATTTATCGTTCTTTAAAAATAAAAAAAACAAAAAGGAAAAAGGAAACAGCATGGGAAGACAGTGACTGTACATATGGAATCCAAGGGTAACTAAAATAACATTTCGAAAGGTATGTTCACCATGTTGTACAGTCTTGTATGCCATCGGGCGAATCGACTAATGTCCTGGCAAACGCCGTCGGGCGAATCGACTTTCGCGCGAAACGACCGAAATGGATACTGATGTGTGGGAAGGTTGTAGAGATCGATAGCCGGGCCACCATCTTGATTTCAATTCGCAATCGAAATCTTGGGAGGGTGAAACATGCCTGTGGGGACGAGGGAGGAAACGGCAACGCCTTAACCTTCGAGGTCAAACAACGGGACGGAAAAAAATTAGTACCATAAGCGTTCTAGACCATTGAAAATCCCACGTCTCACCTGTTATACTAACTGGTGATAAGAATCCAACCAAAAAAATTCCAATTATTAATACAAGTTTATTTTGTTCTTTTTCTCCCCGCGCCCTGTGGATCGGTATAAAAATGCTGCTGTCTCTTCAATTTTGTATTTCTGGAGATCTGGTAGATAAACTAACAGGTGTATAGTCGTGGTTTTACGGTTCAGGTTTTTGGGGTTACCAACAGAAAAGCCGCACTTTGTGAAACAACGAAATGAGTGAAATGAAATGAAAAGAAATGTCAAGGATGAGAAGACAACAATACCTGTCCTGTTTACATTGTATGTTCATAGAGGGCTGCGCGAGTGGCTGTTTATGAGCTTAATCAGAAACGTATATCACCGAACTGGGTTACGTGCCGGTGCTTTTGGCCCACTGTAAAGTTCTTAACTTGCTATCAGCGACCTACCTTTTCTACTGGTGCTATCGTCTGTACCAACTGTTTAAAAATTGTACACTCAGGATAATCGAAACTTCTGATTGCCTGACGTATGAGGTCCTCTATATTAAGAAAAAATCCATCTGAGGGACGACCTTTGGTTAGACTGCCGAGAGAAAGTGAAAAAAATAGATTCAGAACGTTTGAATTGTTTTGGTAATGATACAAAATGGCGGAACGTTTCAGTCGTTTCACGAAGAAGAAACAGGCGAACTATTGGCTAAAAACACAGCGAGAACAGTAAGAAGACAACTCGACGGACGACATCTGCTATTTGGAAAATATTTGCAGAACTGAACAACCTTTATCTCCAAAACTTGCCGATAAACATGCACTATCGACGATGAACGTAACATCTAAGGAGGTAAGCGCTAGCATGGATTGTTTTAGCTTGTTTTCAAAGTATGAATTATTTTGAACGAAAAATAAAACAATTACTGAATTCGGCTTTCGTATCATAATAAATAATACGATACAATACTTTATTCAAGAGATAAAATACATAACAAAATGTCTCTCGAAAGGGGATATCTTGAGGTTATCCCTATATAAAAGAATAAAAGACTTCCCAAAGCAAAAGAGAGTCTAAAACATTACGTGCAGAGAAAAAATCGAAAAACTAAAACCTAGAATCAAAAACATCATTTGAATCATCCGACTCAGCCTCATTCAATCATTGTTAATCATTATCATTATTATTACTAACACTATTATTTTTATTATCTAATAATACTAATAAACCTTACTATTTTAAGAAGCCTTCAATTCCGTCCTTGCCTTCTATTCCCTCGTGCCAACGCGCGCATGTTTTTAACAAAAATGCCAAGTAATGCATCTTCATCGCTAGTACTTCGTGCATTTCAGATGACTTAATATTTGACTCCACCAAGAGCTCAATTACTTTCACCAAACTCTTGTGGTTTTCTATAAGCTGTTGGTTCTCCCGTAAATACATCGCTATCTGTAATGAAATGAACGAACGATATATCACCATATTACTATAATTATTACTAGGTTACTCTTCATAATAAGATTAAAATAAAATTAGTGGACCGATGCTAAAAAATTACAGTTCCAAAGGCCTCTTCACATGAGCCCGGTTGACCGGGACGAATTTTCCTTGGGTTCATACGAGAAATTTCAGCCGGGTTTCCGCCGAGACGAGAAAAGGCCAAAGATCCTGGTGACGAGTTCTGGTGCCATATTCGAGAAACCAAGTAAATATGCCGAAACACAAAAAAATTTAACTTTCGCGCCTATCATAACTTCGGCAACCCTTAAAGCTGTATCACTGCTGTTAAGTCGGATGCCTATGATGTGGAAAATACAGCAGTCAATGCAAGACGATGCCATCCGGACTGCCAGAATTTATCCTGCTTTCACCCCGGTAAAGGGGCTGAAGTGTTCTCATGGCAAAATTTCCAGCCCGCTTACCGAGATCTCGGTTGGAAAAACCGAGAAGATCTCGGAAACCCAGCCAACCGGGTTCATGTCAAGAGACCCTAAGATTTACCATGTCCAAAGAAGAAGAAATAGACTAAGACGTTTATCGAAGACCTAAAAGGCCATTAATACGGGGGAAAATGACAAAATTAAACAACGCGTCTTACACACAACCAATAGGAAAGATTTTGCAAGCCATTGTTGCCCCCTCAGAGGCATTTGGCGGGAAACAGTTTTGTTGTTAGATGACATGTGACCTTGGAGTAACCAACATGCGACATTACTTCAGGCGAAATGACTTTCGGGCGACATGACCGTAAACTTGTTAAACACATGCTTGGCCATATTTTTACAAATGTGAATGAACAATAAAGAACATTGGTTACCTTGACAGGGCTTAGTTTTTGTGTAACGGCAAATTTGTGCAGCACAGGAACCAAGGCAGCTGATAGCTTGGGTTCTTTCTCTAAACCTGAAACAATGGCAAATACTATCACAAAGTGTCCTCGAGAACAAAAGTTCATCAAAAAACCCTACTTTCCATTAGTCAAATGTGAAGTACATCTATAATATAACTCCAAGCTGTTTGCGAATTCACAAACATACCACGACAACTATTTCACCCAGTTTCTTTAATAATATCCAACTGGAAGAATCGAAATTAAATCTGCTGGTGGCGGGTGCAGGCAGTTTTTGAAGTCAAGAGTGCATGTTCTGCGAATCGTATGGCCACCCTAATTCATCCCGGCTGACGTTGCTCTCGACCGAAACGGAGATGTTCACCCCATGTCAGCATCTGGCGAGCATTTAACATGGCCAACCTTGATATACCGAAAGAACTTAAGGGTCCAATCAATGTTTGTCTTGTAACTGAAAAGTCCTTTTAGGGAGTTACAAAAGTATGTACAGTGAAACCTCTATTAAGCGGACACTAAGCCGGGTCCCGAAAATAACGTCTTGTATTTTCCTTTATAACGAACCCCTATTTAGCGGACAGCTCTATTAAGCGGACGCGGACAGTAAAGTAAATTGTATTTGGCTAATTCCTAGGGTTAAAAACCTCTATTAAGCGGACACCGGACTGAATTAACAATAGTAGTATTGGATTAAGTCCTTGAAACACGTACTGTAGTCGATTAATAAAGATAAATCAATACGTTTAGCTGTCAAAAGTTCACCTAAAAGTCTGCAAAGAGTCACGTGACAGCACAGCTTCCTTAGCTTCCTTAACAATATGGAACTTTATCACAGTACAGAGTAACCGTCGAATGTTAATCGTTAACAAACATTGCGTAATTTTTGCAATTCTCTATTAAGCGGACACCTTCTATATATTAAGCGGACACTTGGGAAGGTCCCGAAGGTGTCCACTTAATAGAGGTTTCACGGTATGTACGTATGCACACCTAATAGTCCATTTTCGAGTTCGCTATGACCGCTGAATTAAAGAAGTGAAGACGCACTTTTTACAGGCTCAGCCTTCATCTGAAGTAATAAATTCAGAAATTCCAACGAGAAAAAGACCTGTTTCTTACTCTGTCTATTATTTATATTCAAATTTCAAACACTTACTTGCCGGAATATCTGAATATTTTAATTTATGTCGAGATTAACCCTGTATGAATGTGTCGTTAATGTTTGTATTCAGCGGTAATTTTTATTTCGAAACTGAACTATTATTCACCTAATTGCAATAACGTTGTCACAGAAAAATGAAAAAAAGGAAAAGGACAAATAGGAATTAATCAGGCTAATAAGCCTAATGAATTCATTTGCAGCATCCGCACATGGACTCCGTATTTGCCTGTTGGAATTTGCTATTGCTTTAAAGCTGAAAGAAAATAAAACCGAAAATTCCAGCAGGGAAATACAACGGCTGCAAAGGAATCCACCATGAGAATGTGGCTAAGTTAGCCGAATTAATTCCTGTTTGGCTTTTTCGTTTTTTTCATTTTTCTATGACAACGTTTTTGCAATTGGGTGTATGTGAAAAGTGAAGCATTCTTTCTAGCTTGCGATGATCAATTGACAGCTGTCAAACCTGGTAATCCGCTGACCAGTATCACATTACCTTATCGCGGGCTCAAGTTTCGACCCTACGTGTTTTTTTGAAGTCTTCTGCTTACAAGTTTCTAGTTTTCAACTGATCGCAGGCTCAAGACAAATATAACAAAAACAAAGTTTATTGTCGTAAGGTGCAAGAGACAACTTAATAGCAACTTAATAGTCTTCTGCTTACAAGTTTCTAGTCAGGAGGGAGGGGGCGACTCTATTGTTTTCGAATTACGTTTATTGACCCACTCCTCGTGCCAGTGTGACGTCACATAGCAACGGGTGAGTGCTTCGCGTTGCTTCTGCAGATTAGCATGGGACGCCATCGAGGAGAGAACAACAGAGGCCAAGAAAGACAAAACGCTAGGCTAATATCGCTATTGTTCGCTAATTTGATCGTAAGTGTGTGTGCTTTATTGTTGCTTTTATCTGTTTGTGTAAACCTCTAGAGCGTTTTGTGTGCGTAACTGTGTAATTTTGCCGCTTTGTGCCGAGGGTTGTTTGGCGGGACCGCCATCTTTTCTGTAGGACCAGTCAGATCATCATCGATCAGTCACCTTTTTTATCCAAATTACGCAACGGATAGCCTTCAGGATAGGAGGTTTTATTCATTGATTACACTCCTTTAAGGTGCGCCTATTCTTTTGTGGATTGGATAAGCCGTTCCTCATATCAATCCGTTCGAGTGTGGGCTTTTGTTGATTTCTTTCTGTTTCTTGATATTTCCCTCCAAATTTCACAGCCCTGACACAGCGGTGAGATTGATTTGTCTTTCTAAATACTTACTTTTGTTGAAGGTAGTTATATTGGTTGCTTGTTTTTGAATTTGTTGTCTTTTAACGCATCTGATCGCTTTTAAAAATAAGCTTCCTGATTGTGTGGTAGTTTTAATCAGTGTTGAATTTTAATCGCTGCTTCCAGGGAGGTAAATATTGTTGCAGATTCAGGGGTGTTGTTGTTTATATCGTGTTTTGCTGTGCTTGCGTGGCCTTGAAAATCGTTTCATTGTTCCTTTCAAAAACAGCGTGCCCTCGGGAATAAGCTGTATTTGGTTTTCATATTTGGTGTATGTAAATAAAGTCTGGTGTTGAACACACAAGTGTGACACATAATTGACCTTAAATCACAACTTAAATTAATTCACCAAATATTTGATAATTATTTCAATTAAATAAAGACAAAAATACAATAAAAACGTCTTTAGTAAATGGAATAATCAAAAGAAAAGTGACATATGGTACTTTTTGTATTATTGGTAACAACAATTTTTCTGTATGATTTAGTCTTCAACATTAGTTATTTTTTCCCTGAAAAATGCTTTTTCTTTCTGCATCTTGTGGCATCTGTTTTATATAGTCATGTCATAATGGCTTCTGTTTCAGAAGCATTTCCAAACTTTGCAAGGCTTCCTTACAGACTTTATATCCCTTCAAGTTTCTGCCAAACTCCAATTAAAAAATGGCACGCTAATGGAGTGGGGCAAGTTTTTGTCACTAAAATTGATTCAAATTTGGGTGTGCTTCAGTGGGCAATGTTACTGTTATTATGTTTGTGTTTGCAACAGTTTAAAACAAGGCATTTCCATCTCATCCTCCTATCCAATTTACTCTATTCGACTTTAACTCTGGTTTGTGTTGTAGTTACAGTCATCGTCCTAATGAACTGGAAAGTCATTTGCAACACTTTTTCAAGGCAAATTGCAAAGTACAGCCAAACACTAAATTATTTGCTGGAGATTAATTTCTTTCCTTCTGTTTTTATTACAAAATTATTTTTACATCTGCTTGAACCTCTTTACAAGACCTGCTTACAGTTCAAGTCAACATCCAAATACTCCCTCGTGCAATATTTTTGGAGTCTAGCATCAAAAGTTTTCTTTCCACTGTTATGGTTACATGCCTTTTACCGTATTACAGCATCTTGTTTAACATTACAACAATTCAATCTCTGGCAGTGGGAAATTCAGTTCCCTTTTACTTAGCAGCCACTGTTCTCCTTCTGACCATATCTGTTCTACCATATCAATTTCTGGCAGGTTTTTATTTGGTAACTGCAACAACAGTTGGTGAGAGCTTTGATGCTAGTTCCATTCATTCTACAGACCTTCCCCTATTGTTCCCTGCTTTGTATCTTTTCCTTGGTATGTTATTAAGCTATTCTTGTCTAAAAATGGTAAACTTTCACCACCCTGGCTTTTTCTTCAGCATGGTGTTCAAGTCAAAAAGGTTTGTTACATCTATTCTAGTTACAGATGTAACAGGAAAATCACACTCTTTTGTCTTTGCACCATATGCAACTGTCTTTGACTTGAGATCACAGATGAATTCCAAATTTAACATAACTAGTGATTTATACTGGCTATCAAACAGAGGTAAACCTTTGCATGACTTTGTGTCATTAAAAGAGATATCAGGGGCTGTAATTATGAATGGGCATTTAACTGGAGGTGCTAAATGTTGC